CTAATTAAAGTATAAAATAGAATAATTGCTTCCATCCCTATACTCTTTTCCCATCCGCCCTGTGAATAGAGTTATACTCCCTTTCTGGGAGTGGCCAGCCTGACAAGTTGGGTGGAAACTGGGGCTATCAAGTTTCTTTTCATCTCGTTGCTTGGTTTTTCACTTGGCTGGTAGCCTGATTTTCCCTGGACTCGCTGTCTGCCTTCCATCAGACACTGAGGATGTGGGAGCAACTGGAATTCATGTTCATAACATCTGCTGGTTTGCTGTCAATGAAGCTGGGGCAGACTTTCTAGGAAAGAGCCAGGCATCCTCTCCGTGGAGCACCTGGGCAATTAACAGGATTGGGGAATCAGTTCCCAATTGTTCCTCTGGGACTGGCCAGCCTTAGGTCTATTAACAGTATATTAACATTGACTTGTTAGGCAGTGACACTAACGACCCAACACTTACTAGTCCTATTTCTTAATTACATTTAATTAATTAATTGAGAGTGAGAGAGAACCAGGAGTGCTATATTGGATTGTTCTAGCTCTGTGGGGACATGAAAGCCTCTCTAGGAAGAATGTAAGACCAGAGACTTGGTTTCACTCTCACAGTGTGTTCCACTCTCACCGCCCCAAGAATATTACATGTGTCATGTTTGGAGGAGTGGTAGAGGAACAGAGAGACAAGGGTTGGGGGCAGGGTGGAAGATAACAATGAGAGTAGGTTGCCCAGAGATTTGTTTTAAAGTGAAATGATGAAAAACCCATTCCCATGATGTCTTAAAAGGTCTCAGGACTTTTAGAGAATTCTAAAATCTTACATTCCTGCCTCAAAGTGGGAATATAGACCGTCCCAACTTATGATGACCCAACGTATGATTTTTTTGACTTTACAATGGTATGAAAGCAATACACATTAAGTAGAAATTGTTCTTCAAGTACCCATGCAACCATTCTCTCCTTCACCATCAGTACAGTCTTTCACACATGACATGAGATATTCAACACTTAATTATAAAATTGGCTTTGCGTTAGATGATTTTGCCCAATTGTAGGCAAAGGTAGGTGTTCTGAGCATGTTTAAGGTAGGCGAGGCTAAGCTATGATGCTTGGTAGGTTAGGTGTATTAAACATGTATTTGACTTACGATATTTTTAACCTACAATGGCTCGACTGGGAGACAACTCCATCGTAAGTCAAAGAGCGTCTGTGCACATCCATAACCAAACCAGCATTCCAGTTTTCTCTACAGTGTTCGCCCTTCAGGGAAGATGCTCATATGAGCACATGTGACCTCAGAAATCTCTCCTTAAGAACACTGTGCTGGCCAGGCATCGTGGCTTGCTCTTGTAATCACAGGACTTTGGGAGACTGAGGTGTACAGATCCCTTGAGTACAGGAGTTTGAGACCACCCTGGGCATTTATGGAAAATGTTTAAATTGGCTGGGTGCAGTGGCTACACCTGTAATCCCAACACTTTGGGAGGCCAAGGCTGGTGGATCACTTGAGGTCGGGAGTTCAAGAGCAGCCTGGCTAACATGGCAAAGGTCCACCTCTTCTAAAAATACAAAAATTAGCCAGGCATGTGGTGTGCGCCTGCAGTCCCAGCTACTTGGAGGCTGAGGTAGGAGAATCGCTTTAATCCAGGAGGCAGAGGTTATAGTGAGCTGAGGTAGCACGACCGCACTCCAGCCTGGGCAACAGAGCAAGACCTGTTTTCAGACAGGTCTCAAAACAAAACAAAACAGATTTGAAATTAAAAATCAAAAAAGAGAACACCGTGCTTTTGGTTCAGTCTCAAGCCCATCTCTAGCACTTTTTGTATCATCTTCTGGAGACAGAGCAGAGTCCCAATTCTAGGACCTCAGACAAAGTTTTATAAGATCTGGAAGAGACTTTAGAGTTAGATTTATAATCTCTGTCTTTAAAGATGAGGAAACTGAGACCCTGAGAAGCTGAAGGCCCAGGTCACCCCTGAAGTCAGAGGTGGAGCCAGGCCTCAAACACAGATCTCCTGCCTAGGCTGAGGATGACTGGCGGTGTCATGTTCCCCTGCCCCCTCCTCATCACACATGGTCTCTATACTCCTGAGAAATGGGATCATGAAGCATGAGCGCTGGAAGGGGCCTTATAGAATGTGGCATCTGACGCAGTGTAAAAAGAAATTCCCCATTTGTTGTCTCAGCTGAGCCTCACACTGACCTTGTGTGAGAAACGGTGAGGTTAAGTGACTGGTGCAAAGCCACTCAGATATAAAGCATGGCGAAATGAGGTCCAAATCAGTCCTGTGGACTTCAGAGACAAGCCTGTTATCTGACACAGCCCCTCTCATCTATGAAAGAGGAACTGAAGCTGTGAGAGGATTCTACTATCAGTTATAGCACAGGCTGGACTAGAACCCAGGACATCTGACTTCATTTTTATAGATTATTCTCCTGACACTCATTCAGCTGCGTCCTTGAAGACATCTGAGCCGTGTGTGAGTACTTAATCCACAGCTGGCTTCAGACCGATGGGCCTCCTGAACTGTTCTTGGCTTTCATCTTTGGACTCAGCCCTTGGTGAAGTCACCTGGCTACCTATTTCTACACAATTTACGGCTCTCCAGGTGACAGGCCTCAGAGCTCCACCACAAATCCCCCTTAGACTTTGCCTCCTAATCACAGCTCCACGTGGTACAGGGAGCTCCCCCTACTAATATCTCACTTGACCAAAGACAGCCCATGGCAAGAAACCCAAATTCTTCCTACATCTGCTTACTGTGGTTGGCTACTGCTAAACCCCACTCTTCAGTGCAGACTGTAACAAGAACTGGGGACCTGAAGCAGAACGTGGGGTAGAGGAGGGCTATTTACAAATAAGCTGTGTGGATACTTGGTGTGGCCAGGTTGATGCTCTCAGAGATGGCATCAGATATGGATCTAGGAGGTGATTACATTCCCCAAAGCCCACTCATCAGCCTCCAGCCCTGACCCAACCCCTCTTCTTTGGTCACATTTTGAATGCATTTTCAAAAAGCATCTCATTGGATAACAAGATATATGCAGCTAAAATATATGCCTTGGTACCTTCTCAGTCCCACTGAGGTCTCACTGGTCACTTCTTTCCCACTTCGCTGGGCTCAGAGAACCTAAGAAAGTGCTCTTACCCAGAGCTACCTGCTTGGTCCTCTGCTGCACACAGTGCCTCTTGAAAATATTGCATAAGACGTGAGTCTATTAATTCTCTGTCCATCCTTTTATCTACCCATATAGGTTGTCGTCTACCCATCCATCCTTTTATCTGTACCTATTTCTGCATAAGTGACTGGAATGGTGCTCGCCAAATGTTAACATGGTGTTACATTTTGGGTAGTGAGATTTAGTGACCTGCTGCTGTTTCCATTGCTGTATGTATTGCTTGAATTTATATAACAAACATCTACCATTTTTATTAAATGCAAACTATTTTCTCTTAAAGAAGAGCAGGATAAAAGAGTAGAGCATGTATAGAATTGAATTTGATGCCATTACGCTATTTGGGTACATGTCGCTCTCTTGTTAGATTGCAATCAACTCATGGGTAGTGACCAAGTCCCATTCATTTTGATGATTCCCAGAACTTAGTTCCCAATAAGTATGTACCCAGGAATGGTTCTTTTTAGGCCCACTGACTGTTACATTGGAATGACAGGTCAGTGTTTATTTCCATGACTGTCTTACACACTCTAGGTTAGGCAAAGCTGTCTGTAGATCCACAAAATTCCCATCTGGGCCTGTTTATACTTCAACGACAGAGGCCACATGAAAGAAGGTGAAAAAGACAGGTGAGTTCAAGAGGATCTCGATGTAATTTGCATGCAATTATCATATGATTTACGTCATCTGTCCTCAAGAACTAATTTTCAAGTCAGAACTGCATCACTGCTTCCCTTAATGCTGTTATGTGCAGACTTGCCTCTTCCTTACTTCTACTCATCTACATCCCCTAATTCAGATTCCTTACATTCGAAAAGAAAGCAGGTAAGGAGAGCTCTAGGAAGGTTAAGTTTGGTCAAGGAAACCTGGAATTCTTGCAGAATTATCTGAGAATGACATAAGCGTGGAAGCACCTTGTGAAAGCTCCTGGTCCTCCAGCCCTACCAGTATCCTTCTGTAGCTCAAGTCAGTATCCTTAGCTGCTGGGATAGACTGGCAATCCTTTTTCTCCTTCTTTGGCCTGTATCTTACTTACCCTGTTTAGAAAAATGATAAGACCCCTGCTGCTGCTGAACAACTATTAACCCATTGACCAAGTGAGTGCAGTGTGCCAGGCTTGGCTAAGGCCTTCACTTAGCTCTCTGGATCTCCATTGATCTCATGAATTGCCTGCCTTCCCTGTTTCTCTTTCCCTTCACCATGGCTGTCTCTGCATTTGCCTTCTCTCTACTCACACATATTCACAGGAGATAGTCTCCATCCATCCCCGATGGTGGAAGACTTGCTTAGTTATTTTCCTGGCGAGGGTAGAAGTCTATCTCTCAGGACTTCCCATCTCTACAGGCCTGGTGTCAGCTTCCCAGAGCTGACCAGCTTTTACCCTGCACCAGTCTAAGACTCACGCCAAGATTTTTATCTCCTTCTGGAGCCCTATCCTAGGTCTGCGTCTCCCAGGAGTGGGCCCAGCCTGGAGGCCTGGATTATTTACACTTCTTTGGCTCCCTTGAGCAGCAGACTCTGTGGGCCTGGGAGCAGTAAATCTACCTCCTAATCACACCAAGCTGCTCCACGCAGTCTGGCCTGTTCTTGCAGGGCTGTTCATCACTTGCTGAGACAGGGGCTGTGGCCTAGAGTGAAGCCTCCGGGAAGTGGCTGGCCCCCGGCTGCTTCTCTCTAGTTCCCTGCAAAAGCCTACAGGGATGCTGCCTCTCTCAGGACCCCAGTGCTACAAGACCAGAGGTCTTTCTTCTTGGACTGAACAGTTTCTGAACAAAGGTGACAGATTACCAGCAGTTTCTTGGAGTTTGGAAGGGAGAGATGCGTGTTAGCACTTACCTGTCTCTCCGACATGACGTACAGGTAGCGCTGATCAATGGAGAAGGCCATGTCCCGGAGGATGGGGCTTCCGTCTTTAAGCACAGAGACCATCTCATACTGGATCCCACCATGGGGGGGACCATCAGCCCGAATCTGTGTGAGAAACAAGGATGTCTTCAGCACCTGCCCTCAGTATTCCCCTGTGGGCTACCTGCCTCTTCCCAGAGCAGGTATCTTACAGAAGACCATTGCTAACCCCCATCACTACTCCATAAGACAGAAGTGCCACTTCTTTCAAACAGCCCAGTTTCCCCCAAAAGGAATCCTTTCCCAAGCAGTCTGAGTGTTCTGGGTCCGGGATTTCTGACAGTGGATTTATCTGTGTGTGCATCTATGCCCTTGGGAATGGTTTTGAACATCCCTATGCAGTTATTCTTGTGTGCATGTACATCTATTTATAGCACTGTGTATTATACGTGTGTGTAAGCCAGTGTGTGTGTTTATGCACGGTCCTTCATGGTGGGTGGGGTGGGAACGTCAACCTCTGTACACAGTATCTTAGCCTCAGACAAGTATGAAGGAATGGTGAACAATTTATATAAATCATCAAAAAGCCAGTCATTAAGAGATTAAAGATTTTTGGATCCCAGAAGGGTCTTTCATCCCCCAAACATATGCCCTGATTGTCCACAAATCCACCCTGTGAGATGTGGGGAGCCGGGAATCCTGGCTTAGTCTCTCGGAGCCCATCCGAGGCAAATAAGTCAGAAAGGACTTAGATGTCATCTAGTCCAGTGCTTCTCAGCCCTGGCTGCACATGAGAATCATCTGGGGAGTTTTTAAAAATATGAATGCCGGGGCTACCTCCATTCATCACAATCTCTGTGGGTGGGACCCAGGCATCTTCTTCGGCTTAACGGTTCCCCCGGTGAATTTAATAAGCAGCCAGGGTCGAGGAGCAGTGTGGTAGTCCTGCGATTCTCACACTAGTGTGTCCTCGGAATCACCTGGAGGGCTTGGTAGAATGCACTGCGAGACCCACCCCCAGGATTTCTGATTCAGCGGGCATGAGCCCTGAGAATGTGCATTTCTAACAGATTCCCGAGGTGATGCTGTTATTACAAGGGTTTTAGAAGTACTCCTCTAGGCCCCTATATTGAATGCTGACCTCAAAGAGGTCCCTAAGATCATACAAAAGTTAGTGGCAGGGAGCCCCTGGTCTGAATGTGCCCCACCCCCAGTTTTCCCAGTTTTTTGCTTCCAGCATAGCAGCAGACTGTTGATCAATATTCATGATCCCAGCCTGTTTTCACTGTCCTCTGACCATCTGAGCACTCTCCAGCGCAAGCCCCGCCTCCTCCACGAAGCCTTCCCCATCCCCTCTAACGGCTAATTAATTGCTCCCACTGTGATGCCTTTTTTTTTGCCAGACATTTTGTCCTAGGATTATAATCAATTGATTTGTTCATTGTATATGTACTAGCTAACATGTATTGACCACCTACTTGAATTGTTCTCTAATTGCTTCAGATGTGTGTAAGTCCTATCAACATTTTGAAGGCAGGGATATCATTTCTATTTATCTTAAAACCCTCTGAGGACTAGCATGCAGCTGGGAACATAGCTGATGATGGATAAAAGGGAATGCTTGTGAAATGCTTGTTGAAAGAAATGAACTATGCACCAACTGATAGCACATCCTAGACTCCTTGGGGCTGAATCAAAGTGAGGTCAAAAGACATTTTCTCTGGAAGATTTTCGGATTAAGGCTGCTTCTCCCTTACACCCTTTGGATTCTCTCTTGTGCCCTTGATCATCTTCTCCCTCTGCCTGTTTCTCCACACCACACAGAGAGCTCCTCAGGGTAAGGCGCCATGACTTGTTCATCCAAGTCCCAAGCTTGGATATGCCTGATGCCACAACAGGCACACTAGCGTGGATGGATGGATGGATGGATGGATGGACGGATGGATGTGTTTTCAGTTTTTACTGGCCAAGTGGGGAAGGTCAACAGCATTACTGATTGCAGAGCTAGGGCATGGGGGAAGAGCTTCCATTCCTATTTCTCTACTGTCCTGAATCTGCATACTTGAGGGGCCTGAGCCAAAGCCTGCTTTGTACCTGTTGGGTTTGGATGGACTCGAGGTGTGTGGGAAACAGACCATGAGTCCATCGTGGAGTGGGAAGCTCTGACCCGGGAGTCCCCGCTGGTAGAAACGGCAGATTCCTGCCCGGGGCCCTTGTGCCTATACCCCAGGGATAAATTTGGTAGGTCAGGGTCTAGAGGCAAGGACACCATGTTCTCCTCCTCACCTGCTTTGGTGGGTGACTTTGGGGGGGGAGGTTGGGCTTGAACTTGAGGAGGTAACCTCAATGGAACCAAATAAACTCTTCTCAGCCACTCCTACCCCTCATCACTCCCCTTGTGGGACTTTCCCCCAAGCTCCACTCCTGCCCTCTTTCTCCCTAGCTAATGGGCTTTCTGCTGTTCAAGGCTGTTGCCTTGTCATCTATCACTAAAGCCCCTCCTTCCAGGAATGTTGTCAGGAGGCCATTGGTTTCATTCTCATAGGGTCCAGGGAGACTCTAAGACTCTGCAGTGGTGTTATAGGGCTGAGACCACCGCCCTCTAACCTGGAGCAATTCTGAGTATGAGATTCAAGCAGAAGGAAAAACAAGAGTCTCTGTCTGGGAAAATGCCCCATAATTAAAATGGTTCCCCTGGACATTCAAAGCAGCATTCTCCCTTAGATGGACAGATCCAAAGTTCCTTAAGATTCTTACAGAAATATCACAGCTTTTAGTCACAGAAGTTCTCAGGCTATTGCAGGAGGTAGAAGGGAGATGTGATTGTCATGACTTCTGGTTGGCCTGGTCTCAGTTTTCTGTCTCCATAAAATGGGGGCTTCAGGCCCTGCCTCTTGCCCGAGTCTCAACTGTACCCCCCTCTGAAGGCAAAGTGTCTCAGTGCTTCTCCCACCCACCCTGTGACAGCTGCTCCTCTCCAGGGAGATTTAAGTCTTCTCCAGGTGCTAGCTGGGTCCAGGAAGCTGCAGGGCTGGGTCCCAGGAGCTGCAGAGCCAGCCCCCTCCCTCTGGCCTGGTCTGGGATCTCCTGGCTCAGAAGGCAAGGTAACCCTCTGCTGGCTGGAACAGCTACCCTATCCCTTGCATGAATTCAGCAAGGCCTGGACACAAAGTCAGAAGAGAGAATGAAGGCCATGGTGATGGCCCTTTCTCTGTGGTTCCTGGGAACCCAGATGGTACCACGGCAAGATTAGAGCTGGAATTAAAGCAAAGACAACTTATCATCACAGACTCTGCTGCATTCGGTCAGGACCAATTCCAAACATTGTTTTACTGAGTCAGAGACCTAATCAGAAGGTTTTTCTTTTTCCCTGTCTGCAACCCCAATCCAGGTGAAGTCAGAATCAAACCTACATAACTCTCAGTTGTCAGCACTAAAACCAAACCAGAACAGAAAATCTTGTTGGTACTGAACCTGAACTAAGCTATCCTACTTCATCCAGTCTAAATCTCTGGAGAGAAAGATGGTATTGGCTGAGAAATCTGTGGCTCCCCACTCACCCCCTGATCCATGCTATCTGCCCTAAGCTTGAGTCACCTTTTAAGATACTTACAGGGGATCAGAGAAGATGGAGAGCAGGGGCCAGGAGCCCCGGTGTCAAGGAGAAAAGGGTGGGGGCAGGGGCTGGCAGAGAGAAGGCAGCAGATCCCCTGGGCGGCAGAGGTCTTTCCCTTCCCTTGATCCCCTTTGCTCCCTTAAGGCTACACGCCAATGAGTGCAGGGTGTTAAGTCTGGGCCTCAGGCATCCTGGGTTTCCATTCTGACTCTGTTCTTGCCTGGGGCTTGATTTCTACCTAATGACACACTTTTAGGTGAGTTACCTCTCTGAGTCTCAGTGTTCCTGTCTGAATAACTAGAAGAAGCAATCTGCGGGTGCCCATCACAGGAGAATCATAGACTTATAAAAATGACTGGAGCTAATCTTGCCTGAACTCTTCCATTCATGGTGGAACTAGGGTTCAAAACAGCCCCAGCTGGTGGGGTCTGGAGGAAAGCACCTGGCCGATGGGGAGCACGCCCTGGACATGACTAGGAATACGCCTGCGAAGTTCAAGCCTATGATCTTTCATGTCTCTGTCTTGGATACGAAATTTTGGGTTTCAAAGCTCTCCTCTGTCTTTGCCAGAAATAGGATGGCCAGTGGTGAGGGGAGTGTCAAACAGTGCCAAAACAAGAGGGGGATTTAAAAGCCAACTAACTGAGTCTATCCTATGGTGTCCCACAAAGTGACAGCAATAAACTGAACCAAGCCTTGTACGCAGTCCAACACCAAGCTGCACAGGTCCCAAAATCCAACCAGGCAGTGGAGGGCACTGGAGATGGGGCAGAGGAGGGAGGTGACAGGGACAGGTGGAATGAGTCACTGGAGTGTATTTGTCTATTTGGGATCTTATTCTTCCAGGAAGACTTGACCTCAGTGGAAGTGCAGAAGCTCCCGGGGCTATTTAGCCTGGATAAGGCTCGGAAGCTAGGTAGCACAAGGTACAGCAGAAGGTGACAGTCTTTACTGAGATGAGCAAAAGACAAATGTGCCTAAACTACTTATTTGAGACAGGGTCTCACTCTGTCACCCAGGCTAAGTACAGCAGCACAATCACAGCTCACCGCAGCCTCGGTCTCCCAAGATCAAGCGATCCTCCCACCTGAGCCACCCAAGTAGCTGGGACTACAGGCGTGCACCACCACAGCTGGCTACTTTTTAATTTTTAAAATTTATTATTTTTATTTTATTTTAGAGACAGGGTCTCACTATGTTCTCCAGGCTGTTCTCAAACTCCTGAGCTCAAGTGATCCTGCCAACTCAGCCCCAAAGTGCTGGGATTATAGGTGTGAGGCACTATGCCCAGCCTGAACAATGCCACAAGGACATTTAGTCTAGCTCTAGTAAGAACTAGAGGCTTTATTACAGAATGGGTGACTGCGGGAGACTGTAGTCTCCTTCGCAGGAGGGTTTTAAACCCAGGATAACCCCTTTTGCTTCATGGTTAAATGCGGCCCTGCTTGAAGGCAGTAGGATGGATGTGGATTCTGAAAGGGTTCTGTTCACCTAAGGAATTAAATAATAG